TTGCTGTCCCCCAGGAATGCGTGTGGGCAAAGCCGAGGAGGACGGAGCTCCACCACTGCTCTCTGCTGGAGAGGCCTGGCTTGGCTGCCGAGGCCAGCAGCAGAGGTTGCGCTGCTGTTATCCCCAAAACACTGTTAAAAAGTTCTCCTTAATGAGACACACGTGGCCCGTACGGTCCCCAGCTCCCCCAGCGCCTCTCTGCGCTGGGCAGGCGCAGCAGGGACAGCAGTGACAGCCTAGACCACCCAGTGCTCGTGCAGGAGGCTGAACCCCCTCGAGCGGCGAGCGCCGGTCTGACACCCAGACACACAAACCCAATCACTGGGACTCTCGATAAGCCTCCGAGACCCTGGGTGGCACCAGCTGGGGACAAAATAACATACAGAAGCCAAGCTCCAAGAGGCAAGAATTACTCAGGCAGCTGCACAGCTGCTGGACAGACCTCAAGGTATGCAAGGCTTTAAGGCATCCTGAAACAGAAAGATCCAGAATGCGGAGTGAAACAGAAAAGACTGAGGAATCCAGATATTACACAGGACTGAGGAGGGAGGGAGATCCAGTGCCACTGCAGGGAGAAATGGAAAAGCTTAAAATGAAGACAGCAGAGCACTGTGCAGAGCGCTGAAGAAGGGCTGGAGGAATTCCAGGATCCGACATGCGCACAGCGGAGCAGGAGAGCGGCAGCAAAGCTGGCAGGTGGCAGAGCGGAGGCCCAGCCCGCAGGAGAGGGACCAGCGGAACCCGGCAGCACTTCGTGGGTGCAGGAAGGACAAAGTCACAGGCATAGGGTCACTTAACAAGGAGCTTCGCTGCGAGCTGGCAACTCTGCCAAAAAGCAAAGACTCGACGTTCCAGCTGATCAGAGGTGGCCACGTATGAGCCTACCTGTTCCACAGCTGCATCGCTGTCACCAAACGGACCTAATGATCTGCTGGCAGAGCCAGGCGCTGAGCAGATCTTGCACAGGAAACAGGTCAAAGCTATTATGCTGAATGCCTACAGAGCCTGTGACAGCGGGACTACCTGGGGAGATGCTTTCCAGCCCTGAACTCTCCAGTTCGGTCAGAAATTAAAACACACATTTGCTGAGCTGAGTTTTGCCAGCATTCAATTCTGCCATCGCACCCACCATACCCCTTCGGGCTGAGAAAGGGGCAACACTGGGTGCCAACACATGTGTAGGCAGCGCGTGACTCCCAAACAGGGGGGACACCCTCACACGCCTCCCCAAATGCTGCAACCCCCGTCCTCCCCCAAGGAACGTCCCCATTTACCCAGAAGACGTCGTAGATGAAGAGGCCCCCAAGCAGGATGCAGCCAGTGCTGACGTTGTTCAAGTGCAGCAGCTCCACCCCGTTGAGGGAAAACGCCAGGCCAAAGAGGTTGTTGGCAATCCAGTGCTGCGGAGGACACGGAGAGCACAGCTGGACGCAGCTGCTCCGAGGGCAAAGGCTCCAAGGAGGGTCTCACCCAGGCCCCGGCCTCGCTGCCACGCCACTGCTCTTACCTTTCTCAGCAGGTACCAGACCCCAACAACGCTGCTCATGGCCAGGCACACGAGGTCCTTGGTGTCAAACTCGTAATTCACTATTTCTGCAATACAAGAGAGAAGAGTCATCTGGGCTGGCCTGGGCAGCCTCCCTGCCCACGCAGGGGAGCCACGCGTGCGGGTGCCAGCAGGTTCATGGCCCGGGCGAGGGTTCTGCCCACGCAAATGGCCATGCCCACAGTGACCACACGCGAGTTCAGCGCGCAAGCACGCGGCTCGCGTCCCCTGCCAGGCTCTGCCACGCAGAAAGCACCCATGATCCTTCTGCCACTAAGGAAATCAGACACAGACACTGTCTTATGGTGGGGAGGGGACAGTTCTTCTCCCCCTTTCTCTACTCCGTTATGTCCTCCTTGTACTACTAGGAGAAACAGCCCTTTCCATTAAAGCTACTGGCCACGTTCCTTACCAGAGGGCAATCACCAGCGCAGAGATTTAAATTAAATTAGTTAAGACAGGAAGAGAAAACAAAACGCATCATTACATTAAAGGTTGCACATTTAGTATTGATCACGGGGCCCATTTTCGGGGCCCACTTCATTTCGGGGGTTTCTCTGCCGGGGGCACACAGCAGTCCCAGCTCTGCATGGACAAACAAAGCTACAGAAGCCCAGGGGGGACTGAGACACAAGTCTTTGAGGAGACTCTTCCAAAGGTTTGAATGCCAAAACAGCAAGCAAGCAAGAAACAGAAAAGGCAGAAAACACAGAGGCCCCTGGAGAGAGCAGTGAGCTCACGTACCTTCCTTGGTCTCCCCGGAGCCCTGGGTGAAGAGAAGCTGGTACTGTTTGTTGGGGAAATTTGCAGGAAAGAATCTGTTCATCATGGGGCTGCAAAAAGAGGTGCAGAGAAGGGCAGTTCTCCGGAAACCCTGGCCACAGGCGGCACCGACCCCAGGCCACCGCCCTCGTCCCCTCGAGGAGGGGGGACCGCCAAGTGCCACCACGTCAGGGACAGGCACAAGGGCCAGAGCCCCTGTCGGCACCTCACACCGAGCCCCAACACACCGAGGACCCCACAGCTAAGCCCAGCTACCCGTTTCAGCCCCCCCAACACGGGGACGAGGCTGCTGAGCGGCTCCCCCCGTGCCACCGAGCGTACAGGACAGGCCACGGTGGCTGCAGCACGAGGTCCCCCCGTCGCAGCGTGGCCGGCGCCTCCGCGCGCTACCTGATAGTGTGCGACAGCGCCAGGATTCCCAGCACGAAGAAGTACATGGAGAGAAGGAGGTTGATGTACTCTTGGGAGAATATCTGTAAGACAAGAGGCGGCAGAGGGGGTTATCAGAGCGCTCCCCCCGGCTCTAGCTGCCAGGAACTGCTTTACGCTGCAGTCAGCGATCACTGCGTCACCGTTTTGGGGACAAGAGCTGGAATAACCCAAATTCTTGCACGGCTGCTGTGAAACACATGGGAAATAGCGATGCGCTTGCAGAACAAGCACAAGGGCCCTGCAAGCTGTTGAGCATCTCCGAGCAGCTGGGGTCAAAAAATAACTGCTGCTGCAGAAAGGAGGACACACGCTCCCCCGTGCCCCTCACGCAGCGCACGGCTCCCGCGGGATGTCCCCGCAGTGGGGCTGGCGGTGCCTCCCGCCGCGCGCTGCCTGCCCTACTTTGTGGGTATTCTTAGCCCTGCTGCCCTCTGCGGCGCTCACCCGGGCCCAGCACCAGCCTCCCGCGATCCCGCACGCGCCAGAGGCACCCGGCGCCGCCTCCGGGCCTTGCCGGCCTCCTGGAAGGAGGCTTGCTGGGATGCTGGTGCCCGCGGCAGGTTGCGGATACTAAAAAGAGGCCCCCGATCACGCAGCAGCTCTAACCGGGTCACACCGCACACGGTGCGGCTTCTCCTGGAGGCTCAGCCAGGAGCGAGAGGCAGGAAAGGTCCCCAGGAGGTGGGCCGGGCTGCAGGGACCGTCTCAGGGGCCGCAGGGCCATCCAGCTCGTCCTGCCCCCCGCTCCGCATGTGACCAACGGCACCTGGGGACAGTCCCCAAGGACAGGGCAGGGCGCAGGCCTGAGGCCGCCCGTGCAGTGGGGACAGATCTGCCAGGCGAGGTGTGGAGTGGCTCTGCCGAATCGTTCCCGCTGCTGGATCCCTGATCCCTGCTGCTGGGATATCTCTGTCCCTTGGTGAGCAGGGGCATCTCTTGGGCAGCCCAGGACGGAGGGAGGCTGCTGAGGCCTCCCATCCAACGTAGGATCTTGCCCATGCTGCACTGACAATCCTGCAGCTTTTCCAGGTCCTCCGTGGGCTCCTGGTGCAGGGTACCCAGAGGGGCTTTCAGCCAAGGTACTGATTTCTACACACAGATACACAGCCTAAAGCACCTGCTGCTCAGATCCCTCCTCTGCAACTCAAACTGCCACTGAACTCCAACACTTCACCCAAACCCATCCCAGTCTGTCCGTAAGCTCCTTTCCGCCTTGCCATCAGCCAGGCCTCCGATGGAGTCGCCTTAGGAGCACGGCAAGGAGCAGAACAAGGGCAGAAGCTTTTGCAGTTCAGGACCCTCCGGTACCCTCTGGTTCTGTCCCAGGCACCGCTGGGCGGCCCGAGGCAACCGGCAGAGCTCGGGACCAACTTGCTTCTCTACAGCTGCCTCCAGGAAACCCACGGGAGCAAGCGGGCCCTGACTTCCAGGATCCAGGTGAGCTCTAACATCCTCCAGACGGGAACGCAGCAGATCCAAGTGACACAGGAACGCAGCAAATCCAAGCTGCAGTCTCAAAAGACCATTCCAGCGCCACAGGCCGTAACAGAATCACGTCAGCCCCATCCCGGCAGTCCCGGGAGGCAGACGCCGTGGGCTGAGCAGCGGGGAGGGACAGAGCCACCGTCCCCGTGGCCCTGCCAGCACCGCGCACGTACCTTGAAGAAGAGGTAGAGCCCCAGGAGGGTGCAACTGGCCACGATGGGGAAGCGGGCAGCGTCGCGGCTCGTGATGGTCTCGGGCATCTCGGAAGAGTTCTGCAGGGCTGGAAGGGGAGC